TGTATATATATATATATATATATATATATATATATATATATATACATACATATATACATATATATATTATGAGCTGCATGTTGCATAGGAACAGGAGCCAAATCTGAATGGCTTGATGATTCACGTGTTTTTGGATACAGAGAAAACGACCGGGTTGTGTTTTTTCAGTCTGTGAGTTGGTAGGCACTCCAGATACCCAAACGTATCTGCACTCAAACTGAAAATCGGAGTATTTAATCAGGTGCCTGCTTTAAATGGCTGCAAGGGTAAAAACAGAGACAAGTGAATTCGACATTCAATTTGAAATAAAAGTAAACAGAACTTTGAAAGTAGGTATGAGCAATTTTCAGTCCCTCCTTTCATCTGTTCATACTTTCCCTTATCCCCTCAGGTTGCTGAAAAACTGGCGAAGTCAGAGGCCTTCAAATTGGAGTGCTCCTGTTAAGCTTCATTTGCTCTCCCTTCCACATTTGCATGCATGTTACACAAAGGGTCCAGACAATTTGGCAAGGACAGACAGAGTGCTTACAAGAAGTTTGCAATACAGACTGCATGCATTTAATACACACCCAGTAGCCATTTGACTCGGCCTCCAAGAGCTTTGGGCTTGAAGGAAGCAACCCATTAACTCCTGTTTCCCAGTCCAGATAAGATGAAGAAATATGTGCTGGGGAGCAACTATCAGCAGGGTACAAATTATAACGCCAACTGCAAAGGATAGACTGTAATTCCATGAGTACATCTGGGCATCGGCTTCACCTGTGAATACTGCTGCCTAACGGAGCCTGATGCCCTCATTTACTGCATCACGAGGCCTGGTTCAACCGACTGTCCGTCCCAATCTGTATGGCGCAACAGGATCATTGGGGGGGGGGGGTGTTACACAGTACAGACGGAGATAATTTTAAAGCCAGCTTTGCATAAAAAAAAAAAAATAGGAATGAAAATGAATTCTGTCTTTTAGATTAGTTTCCTTTAATGTTGCCCCTACTGATGGCCTGTGGGGATCCACTGGAAGTAGGCCCATCCAATAATTGATTCTGTATCAGGACTAAAACTGTATGAAATGATATCTTTCCTTAAAGACTATTTTTAATGGAAAGTATGTCCACTAAAAATGAATACGAGGCTCACTTGCTGGAAGGAATGTCAATAACCACTATTTCAGAGGAGCTTTCTTCTTTTTTTTTTTGTAACCCACACCAGCACTTGTACTCTAGCTGGCCTCTTTCACCACAGTCAGACTGTGTTGGAGGCAATTAAAAAAAACAAACAGTGTTTGTAAAATGGCACTGGCTTATTTCCCCTCCGAGGAAGAAGACAAGCCCCCAAAAAAGGAGAAAAATGTCAACGCAAAGAGATAGTCGTATTCTGTATCATTGAATCAAGCTGGCAAACACTTTTCTCGCTCTCTGTGTGGCGGCAGATTTAATCAACTCAGGCTCTTGTTGACATAGCATACCAAATCAGGCCAACTGTTGATGAGAGCAGAATTCCCAGAGATAGTAAAATTGCAGCTAAAGGCCTGGGAGACGGAGGGAAACAAGCCATTCAAATTGTATTCTCTGCCAAATCCTCTTATAACATTATGCATTTACCTAAGGCCAACACAAGCTTTTCTGGGTCTCAACAATTTGACTGCCTCACATTTCAATTTACAAACCATTCATTGGCGCAACATCGTGACAGCTTCCACTGTAGAGGGATGGTGTAAATGTATGTTCAGCATGGCGATAAGCAGCCTTCTTGAGGTAGTGTATTGTTGTTGGTTCTTTCTTTAAAAGGATTTTCTGACACAGTGATTTACAGTTACTGTATATACCTTCCATCGCAGATTTCTTTTGGCCACTTGGGGCAGCGGAAACAAGTTGTAAATACTGAACATCTTCACCTGTTAAGTTAATACGGTGAATAAACCTGTTGGCAAACAGTTGCTTCATAACACACCCAGCAGTTACAGAGCAACACAATTAGTTTGAAACCATGTTTGTGGTCTCCTGAGGAATGAAAGTCCAATATTCTTTCTCTTTAAGCCGGTTTTGGGTCTCTACCAACTCCTGAGGGAAATATCTGTTTTTCTAGCTGCCAAATGCTCCACTATGTTCACCAGCTAGTCTTTAACTCTGTCTGCCTACTGTTTGGTGCTGATCAGGAGTAAAGTGGGTTTTGGAGTTTTTTTTGTCATAAATTATGCTATGAGAGTAGTGAGTGTGGATCAGAACAGCAAAGTTGTGGGCTTGCAACCCAGTCACCAGAAACAAATGTTGGCATTGTACATTTCTTCAATCCATGGGATACATTGAATATCGACATTTCTGAACAAACTAGGTTTCATAAAAACGTTTCATATCAGCCTCGTATCACGCTTACCACTTGGTACATACAATACCAAGTGGTTAACTTTTGTTTATGCAACAAAACTACTTTAGTTGTGGCTTACAAAGGATGTTAAGGTTAGAAAAAAAGATCATATATTGTGTTCAAATAACACTGTAACAACGCAACGTACCAACGAAACATCCCAACGTATGTTACGTACCAAAGCAATGTACCAACGCAACGTACCAACGTAACGTACCAACGTAGCGTAAAGGTCTCTTGAGTGACTATCCTGTGGTTGTTTGAGCAATCCACTGCAACTCCCACCCACCTGTTGCAGACTTTCTTGTTTGCTCTTTGTTAGAATCTGGGTGAAAGATAGACTTGGTAGGCCGGTAGAAATGATAAAAACAACCAACAAAGATATTTGATTACATTCAGCTTCACAGTTATATACATGGAATAATACACATTTGTTATTATTACACAAAACTTTCATCAACAATCGCTTGATGTATAGAACGTGGCTTGCTTGTTATAATACTTCACTTGCTCTGACCTAATGCAAAAACATTGATAATTAATGTATGCGCCGTTTGCGGACACGTACTATGCCAACATTTTTTCCACCCTCCTCCCTCAAACAAGCAGTAATGCAGACACTGCTCAAGAAATTCTTGCCTTGATCATCTGCAGTTAACATTTTAAAATCTCTAAATTACCCTTTTTGTCCAACAAAAATTAGAGAAGGTTGTTTACTTAGAGTTGATTTGATTTATGAATAATAGTGATATATGTTTGACCCATTGAAATCAGGTTTCCATTCAGGTCACAAACAACATTTTTTACTTAAAGCTGATACTGGCGATTGTTTAATTACATTTCTTTCTCGGTTTGCGCTCCGCAATCAACAGTGTTTATCACTCTATTCATTTGGTAGAGAGGGTCGTCCGGCAACCGCAGCGAGTCCTGTGCCGAAGTGTCCCTGAGCAAGACACTAAACCCCTAACCGCTCCCCGGGCGCTTCTCAGCAGCCCACTGCTCATAATATGCTAGGGATGGGTTAAATGCAGAGGTCAAATTTGATTATGTAAATGTAGAATGAGGACTATAATAAAGTTAAAGTTTTTAAAGTTTGCACTGCCTTGAATCGTGGGTTGGCATCAGGGGCACTGCTCTAGACTTGTTCAATTCTTATTTATCAAACAGAACTTTCTCAGTAATGGTTGGTGAGGCCTCCTCTTTTGTGGCTCCTCTGACCTGTGGTGTTCCCCAAGGCTCCATCCTTGGCCTCTTGTTGTTCTAAATATACTTGTTGCCACTGGGACATA